ATATTAATTCATAGGTTAGTAGCTTGGTGAATATAAAACTTTTTTTCGATGAAACCATTTACTTAAGCTGTATATTCATATTTGGTAAATATTTGTCTATAGGAGGACAGGAAAGATTGCATCATAAAGTGATTCAACACTCCAATTATCAAATGAGGTTACGTAATAATCAGGGGGTTAAATAAGAATAGAAGGATGAAAACAATTTACGGGTCAAAATTTCGAAGGAAAAATGCAAAACATAAAGGTCATAATAATAACTGAATGACAATCATCAAAAGTTATTAAAGGATAATAATAACTGATTACGGTCTAATATTACAAAACGCTAATAAAAAAATATATAAAAAACATACTGCAGAAGGGAATTAGGGCCGAAGAAGGATGAGAGGTTGGACTTATCGTTTTTGCACGCAGAGTTTAGGCTTGAATTGGTGGATCGCCAACACCACAGCAGTTTTTGATTTGACCTCCCTTCACTCCAGTTCCTTTGATTGTGTAGATTATTTTAAAGGAGGACTTCGGAGTGACGTGTCCAAAGTTGATTGAATGTTCCTGTATTGAACTGGCAACTGTTTTGCATTCTTTTAAAAGCCATGCCAGGTAATATTCTGGGATGGGTTTAAAAAGCGATCGCTTTATGAGGCCAATGTAACCTATCCCACAGGAGCAAATAAATTTCTAGATGCAAATAGACGTGACCCAAAGCGGAAGTTTATCCTTAACATATCTGTGAATGGCAGACCAGATTCAGAAGTCAATGCGGAGCTTAGCTGAGTAGGTTTTGTTCAGGGATTTTCAAATCCGTTTATTCAAGATTTCAGCAGCTGTATCTCCTTTAAATCCAATATTCATAAAAAGAGTTGGTGCCTTTTCAGGGTGTTGACTAAATGTTAAGTTCCTATCGATGAATCTGGGTGGATAACCACTCTTGATAAGTGTCTGTCGAAGTTGAAATAGTTCATCGTCTATTGTGTCAGTAGAACATATTCGCCTGATGCTTGAGGTTCAAGAGTGAATTAAGTTCCTCTTTGCACTCAGTGGGACCCAGGTATGGAAATTCGTACACTGCTCATTCCGAGTTGGTTTTTCTATATATAGATCTCTGTAAAAAACAGATCTGACCTTTCCAACCGGACATCAAGAAAGTGCAATTCTTCGTTCGCCTCTGCTTCCAACGTGTATTGAATTGAGGGGTGACGGTTATTGAAACGATTCAAAATTTCATTGAGGTCTATATCTTCCTCACAAATAGTGAAAGTACCATCCATGTATCTTTTATATAAATAAAATCTTACAATTATTGGTCGAAGTACCTTATTTTACCGATTGGCCATAAAACAGTCAACCAAGAGCGGACCCAACGGTGAACCCATTGCAACTGAATTGCACATTGAGTAAATGATTACGTCGAAGAGGAAATTTTCCTCGCTGAATACTCTTTATTTAAGGATGCAATGGGTTATTTTATTATTAGTAGCTTGTTTTTGACACAAGAATACTATGTCTTAAGTAGCTGGAAATTAAATTCCAATTTTTAACTATATACGAAATTGTGTTGATTGATCGACAGTTAGCTTTGTTAATAGTTTTCAAGCTCAAGTATGGGAAACAGAAGTAGAAGAAACAAGACGTAACACTTATCACATTTTAAAAGTTAAATCCACAAATTTGCTATATTATTGTTTTCGAGTTAGAAATCTTATTTACAATATTTTCATCTTCAAACTAAGTTTAATTTCAATCGACAGTTGCGTGGTTCGTAAACCTTTTGTAACCTATAGGTTTATGTACTTTGATTTGAGCTACTGTGTTTTGCATGAGAACTAGTTTTACTACTCGCCTACTCGTAACGGTATGAGGGTAAAAAGTGTTCGTACCCAAGACCTATTAGTTAGAATCCTTAGTGCTCTGAACACTGAAACATATGTCTACCTACTAAGGTAACTCTAAGATACAACTTGGCAATACACAATACTTCAGCAGTTGAGATCATGAGTCAATTGAAACTAGATCACCATGGAAAACCCGGAAGCAATGGACGGCCGTTTCGTCCTAATATGGGACTCCTCAGCATTGAGCACCCACGATCCCGCGCCCCGCGAGATTCGAACCCAGGACCTATCAGTCTCGCGCCATGCGCTTAACCAACTAGAGCACTGAGCCGGCATTCAACGGTGTTAATGTCTGACTTCAAACAATCCACGAAGTTGCGCCACCGTACACCATTATCTTCAGTGAGCTGATATCTCACAACAGACCTGATTGAACCCCACTGCTCACGGCTTCTCACTAGAACTCCAGGAATGTCTCTTGAAGTCAGTCACTAGAGAGCAGATGATTATCATTACTACAATCTCCACAAAACCCCTTCTGATACTAATACACAATATCTCCATCATTAAAACTTAAGTAATCATAAATTTTGATTATTCACTTAATTAATATTAATATAGTGCAGCTACAAACACTGTTATTCTAGACGTTTCCCAGTGATTTCTCAATCAATCTCATCTAAAAAAATAAGACTGTGCTTGTTGGAATTATTTATCACACTGATTCACGTTTACGTGTAAGTGAATCATGGATAAAATAAAATTCTTAAAAAATTTTTTTATTAAGCCTACTTTTTATTTTGAATTTGCGAAAAGATATAATAGTTTTAAAAAAAGTAATCACTAGATAGTTTATATATGGGTTTTACCAATTCAAAGTCTTCAGTGAAGAAACTTTTTCCAGAATATTTTAAAACTAAATAGTTTGAGTTAAAAAGACTTAATAAACTGTTAGATTTATACTATTGGATAAAGATAATTTAGGATCATTGTTATAATATGAAACTGGACGTCTAGGCAGCTTTGAATTTGCATTATATACAATATACGTAATCTTATTGTAGACATGGATTGTAATTTGAAATATTCATTTATTAATAACAAAATCAAGTGTTTTTTTTTAAAATTACTTTCGTTTATGATAATTTGTTTTCCTCTATTTGTTTTAGTGAACTTATTCAAACTAATATTTTACGTACTCAGAAGTTTGTGCAATATTTCAAAACAAGAAAAATAAGCTTTCTCATGTTGGACTGTTGAATGATTTATTTATAAAATGATTAGATTATTCGCTTTAATCTTAGTTTATTCATATATATTTAGTTTTTCATTAATAATATGACCTTGGAACTGTTATATTCTATTAATATTATTATTAAACATTATTTATGACAATTTCTTTGTTTGAAATTTTAGTATTTATGGGGTGTCGAAAATCACGTCGAACAATATCTCAGTATAATTTTTATTCACTGAAATAATGTACAAAGAATGAGAATTCATGATAAGCAACTACATAAATTGTCATAAAAAATCAGTTGTTACTATCACACTTATTTAGCAACATATTTGTTTCTCTAGTCAACAATTAACTGATCGAAACAAATATATTTAAGAAATCTAATCAATTGATCATTCATAAATTATATGGGACACTGTAAAAAATGTGTATTGGTTCATGTTACAGCATTTGTTGTGAAGACTATGGTGATAAAAATAAGATGACAATAAAAAAATAGTGGAATAATATTAGCAGAACTAATAGTAGTGAAAAATAGAAAATATGGTTCGAAAAGCGTACATGAAGTTAAAAGATAGGAAGTGTGAGTTATTACTAAAACTTTTTACCTGTGAATAAACAAAGAGCGAAATCTTCTATATCACTGCATTCAGTTTCAAATTATGTTACCCTAAATCTCTTATTACAAATTATGGTTATAAATGGGTTTTAAACAGGAAGTTATACATTCTTACATGGCTTAAAATAGCAAACATCGTTTTCATTTAATGAAGCCATTTATTATTTTGGTAACTCACGAACTATTAGGTTTCGTTGTAATCAGAAAAAGACCGAAGGCTTATCATGTTAACACTCTCTTACGTAGTACAGTACTAAAACTAATCATTATTCTTAATTTCTATATATTGCATAATCAGCCAACTTTATAACGTGTCAATACACATATACATCTCACTTATGGGATAGACAAAGATCTTTTATTATCACCGTTCATCATAAAAATATCACTCTGACTTAATTCATGTATTATTAATATTCAAAGTACATTTTATCTTAATTGTGCTGAACATTATGTGCAAGTAAAGTGAAAATGTTTCTCCATAAATTTACTAAGTCACATACTAACTTATTTTTTGCCATAATAAAATGATCTCTTTAGTAATAATAGGAATAGTGATTATAATATTTGAACGTTGTATTCATTACATACTGATTTCATATAGGATACTATTGGAAACCGGAACCTAATATTTACGTCATGAAACACATATGACGTGAAATCATAGTTTAAAATTGATACAAATTAATACATATTTGCAGTTATTGAGTAGATCATTTGCTTGCCTACAACTTTATTTAACATTGCAGGCCTATGCTTCATGTTAGCGTTATAAACTAACAGGAAACTATTGGTAAAATAATAATCTAATTCAAACGTTCAATAAAATTTATTTCAATATGAAGTAAACACCCATGAAAATTAGATAAACATGTTTGGAAAACTTTGAAAGTCTAAATCAAATATATATGTGATCAAGAATGCTCATTCAAGCATTCAAAAGAGGCTAGGTGAAAACACATTATTCATGAAGTCACCAATAATAAATGAAGGAAGTAAAGTATGTTGTGATTTATTTCAGACTGTCATGGTCATCATGTATAATAATAATAATAATAATAATAATAATAATAATAATAATAATAATAGTAAACAATGAACTAAATTTATTACTATAAGACGTGATTATCGATGTATAATCTACAAGTATAAAAATGATCACTACAATGATTAAATATTAGCATATTTTCTGCAATGATTTTCGGAATATGATTCGTTTATTTGTTTATTTTATGTTGATGAAAACAGTGCAGTATGTAATATAACAATTTAAAATGTGCGTTACTTCCATTTGTAGCTTTGACAGTTAAGCAATCAGTGGAATAGCACGTGGCCTGTTGTTGTTGTTGATGTGTGACTTTTCATGAAATGTTACATTGAGTGGACGTAATCTCTCTCTAAGAAATAATGGAATACAGACGAACAGTTGAGTTTATGAAAATTAAGATATAAGTTTAATTGCAGATCTATATAAATTATTGAATACTTGAAATAGATTTGCACTCATACTAATAGTTTACATTCGTGAATTGCTATTTTCAAATTTTGTCAATAACTTTAATTAAACTTTCAGATAATCTCTACTTTAATTGAGATAATGAACTGATAAATGTTGGACCACCATCGAGAACCTGGAAGCACTGGATAGCCGTTTCATCCTAATATGGGACTCCTCAGCAGTGAGTACCCACAATCCTGCACACCGGATTCAGGCATAACCTTTAGACCACTGAGATGTCATCCAACGGTGTTAATGTCTAACTTCAATGTTGTTCTAACATTAATCAGTTCATGATCGCAATTAGAGCTCAACAATCTCCACAAGCGTGTACTGATAATCTCTATATTGATTGCTTTTCTACTTGTTTTCTGTATGTTATATATAACACTATACATTAGGATAGATTCGAGTGTTTTGTGAAATTGTCTAGAATGCTTGATAGATCCCTCTGAATATTATGGACAAAAACACTGTATTATATCACAAAGTGACTGTGAGTAGCAGTCAAATCTATTCAGTCTTCATTTTTAATTTATTAGATTCTATTATTCTAAATATAAATTCTCGTTTCCTATTCATGAAGATCTTTTTCTGTGCTGTCTCAGTGCAATAAACTCTAACGGATATGGTATTTTAGGTCATTTTAATTTGATATGTCTATTTAACAAATCATAAATTGTGGGAAAGGCTAGACTTATATTTCAGCAATAAACCACAAGCAGTCAACTTGCCAATTCGACAGACATACATCCTTTTTAATAATATAAGTAATGGCTGAAAGTCAACAAAAATTATGAGGATATTTTTATGAGTAAATAAATCAAGCTTGTCATTGACGGTACATATAGCGTGAATGTGTAGATGACAACTGAAAACTAGTATGTAATGTATCTAAATATTTAAACGTTAAAGTATAATTTCTTGTTTATCAAATCTTTTGACGTTTACTTAAGTTTCCAAGAAACTTTATTTCCATGATTAGAAAATAAAGTATTTTTATAGTATCTGACACAATATATTGATTGATTTGTTGAGATAAATAAATAAAATTATGCGATGGTATATAGACCTTAACAAGCTTCTACGATTACAGTGGTTAATAGTTTCTCGATATCATTTTTAAGTCCATAGATTCAGGTCATGGGTGAATTAGATATTATTCCTATTCTATCGAAATTGTCGGTGTATATCTTATATATTTCCTTCTTATTGATTAATAATCACATATTCGTGTTGGTGAATAATTCCATAATGAAAATAAATCGTAAATTTAGAAAAAAAATTGCCAACTACCTTAATTTTGAAGCTTCTTTTAGACTTAAACGTGCTGATGAAGTAGAGTCAAAAGAACACATCGCACCCCATACACACCGTGACCGATCATAATTTTCTGAATTGTAACGTCCAGGACCAACTGGACTCTGGAGTAGGAAGATAATAACGTTTTTTTACAATATCGAATTACACTTATTCATTTAATAGGTAGCAGACATTTATCTTTATAACTTGATTAACCTATATAAGTGAAATACAACCCCAAGTATATTTATAGGTTAGAAAAAATGACTATCTATCACTCAATGAGGTTATATTCTAAAGATTCAGGTAATAATAAATTGAAAAGAAAATGATCTTCAGTTAACAATACAGTACCAGTTTGGGAAGAATTTAATGTTGAAAGACACATTAAGTTTAAGGAAAATAACTTTGGATCACTTCAAACAGTGAATAGGAAAACTTTAAACTCATTCTTGATAATTATCATTGCTCGTCAGTAAATTATTAATCTGAGTGGTCATTTTATGAGTAGTTTTTTCATGCTGTATAATAGCTTATCGCATGCAATCAACTGATGAATTCATAGCTTCTTGTTTATACAAATATATTCATTGCAACCTATTTCAATATGGGTAACCCATTACCTGATAATTTGAGTTACGTTTATCGTATAACAACGTCAGGAAGAAACCACTGAAAACTAAGTTGAAATAATCAGTCACTTTGACTCATATTGCAAGTCCTTATCCAAGAAGTTTCAGGAATACCGATTACACCCAGAGCTTTCAGGTACAATAATTAACATGAACTTATTTAAATATTGAGTTCGTCAATACTACTCTACAGTTTTCTAATGTTTAGTAGGAAACAAAGAAATTGTTTTTTAGTTATAGACTAGTTAAATACCGTCCAATAGCCTATAGGTTATAATTTTAACAGGTCATAATTATTTTCTGAAAATATGAGCCTCATTAAAATGGTTGACATCACCTGTACAGAAATTTATATATTTGAGGTTTTTATGTGTGTTCCAAATATCAACTATATATCTACTAAATAGGAGCTTTACTTAACTATACTCAAGGCACAGATGAATCTTCTGTTAAGATATTTATTAAATGTAATGTTACTATTCCAACAGTTTTTAAAAGAACTGATTTGATCTGTATTGATAAGTGTACGCGACTGGTTTGCATTTCCAAAGATTGAGACATACACTATTAGTGGATTTATATATATATATGGGAAGGCACGGATACCAATTTCTGTTTGACCAGCAAATTTCTTTCTCATTCTCAGTGTTTTCGCTCAGACAGCCGGTTGAGCCTATACATAAGAAGGTTGTATATCAGTATCAAAATTCAATATTGTAAGTCACAAGAGAAACAAGAAATTTCGTTTGATTATATGTTCAAATACTGTGAGTCAATTACCTGCAAATTTACGCTGATACACCAGTACAAAAATAAGCAGATTGTAAAAAGAATGTAACAGTTTTTATTTAGTGTCCGATGTTTGAAAGAAAGTTTGTTGTTTCCTTAAAATATGTAAAGGAATCAGTTCAATAAAAAAGCATTTACCTGTCTACTGGTAAATATTGAGTGTGAATTACGAGAGGCGCTGGACAAAAATGGAGGAGCTTGATGATTAAAACTTTTATCCTTGTCATCTAGATATTTGGGATCATAATATCCTGGTCCTATCTTTAAAAAAATAAAGCGAAACCCAACAAACACAACTACATGTCATTATTGGTTCGTGATATTTATAAAATGTGATCATGGGAAAAATGCTATAACTAGTAAGCTAGCTCAAAATTCAAGTATTATATTCCCTATTTGGCTTAGTGATCCTCTTGTTTTGTATAAATATCATTACGTTGTTGCCTAAATTTTGCATGACATACATATGAATTTTACGTTGTTTGGGCAATGATCAATTAAGTAAAGGGAGTTGGTAAGTGATTATTGGTTGAAGTTTCGTGACGTTATAAGCTTTTTAATTGTTGAGCCTTCTTCAGTAAACTAACTTAATGTGATTAAAAGCATCACCTGGTTTCACGGTAAACTAGATCATAAACATGTTAGTTTTATTGAATACAGTGCGGTTATTTGGGAGGATAATGTTTTATTTAGGATATTCATATTTTGAATACATTTTCATTGCTCATTATTCAACTGTAAAATTTTACTAACTACTGGAAAACTAAAAGAATTTACCAAGCACATTAGTCTTACCTTAGATTTTACGAGGTCGTTTTGCATCCTAGCAGAATAGCACTGATCCATTTTTCTTTGTTCAACAACAAGTCTACGAAACATCCCTGTATACTTTTTTTCTGGTCGCAAAAGATTGGATGTAAATGATGTTAATGAATAGGTTCCTGGTTCTGGGTATTCAGAAGTCTGAAAAGTTGTTGAGTGATAAAACAACTGAGTTGTGAAAAATAGAAGGCAAAAGTAAGTAAGCTTGATGCTTCATACTCTGTTTAACTTCAATGTTAGCTAAAGCCATATTTCTTCAAGCTAACTTTTCTATACATTTTTGCTCTTATCTGCTATTCTCTACATTTAATCTTCAAAATATTTCTACACAAAGGACATGAAATAATCGTGGTAAAGGCATTGTTGCCGGTCAACAAGATAGTTATCTTTCTATATCTGTTTATTGTATTACGTATATATATGCTTGAATAAGGATAACAAATCTCGAACAAACTGTTTTTCAATACTGTCCAGTTTAATTAATTTTCATCTTATGGTTAACTTCCCAATTGTTTGTGACGAATGCTAGGTAATTTTGTTTCTCCCAACTATCTAGATCAGGCATACCAAAAATGAGTGAAAATAGGGAGAATAATAATCCCATCTTAGCAGATGGACAAATATAATCAAAGTATCAGTCATGAGGTGAAAAATACTAGATAAGTCTAATTTTTGCAAACAAAATTCCGATAGGAATATAAGTAAATATTTGAAATAGAATATCAAAACTTTTTCTCACATAAGTAAAGCTTCTCGGTCCAGTCATCAAATCATAAGGTCCGCGTTTCCCGGTTTTTTTATCCAGTAGTTTCTGTACCGAACCATTGATTTCGTAGGTACCTGGTGCAACATTACACCCCTTATTGATAAACATTAGTTTGAACCATCAATTAAATTACTGTCAACGGTAAAGAACGACTTCCATCCCCACCACATTCTAATAAGCCTTTTGTGCAACATGATTTGTGTTTCGCATCCATTAATTCTTTATAAAGATATGGATCACCTTTCATTCCATAAGTACCCACTCCTGGAGTATCATTCTGAGTAAAGAATTCATAAAAGTAATTTTAAAAGGCTTGATTTTTACTCCTCTGAGTTCCGAAAAGCGATCCGCAGTTGTATTTATGGGTCCTATGGATTCTGAGGTCCCCTTCGTCTGAATTTCTCTTGGTAGGTTATACCGACCAGGTCCAAGATTTCTTTGCTTTAAAAAAAGTTTTCCGAAAAACTATGTATTATAATATATATAAAAGTTGAGTTAACTCCATGTTGCATATATATAAAACGTTTATCGAACTGTACAAACGACTGGTTGATGACCGGTTTTTTTACTCAAAACAAAATGTAGTGAAAAAAAACGAAGAGACTGCCTAACAAAGAATACTGAATAAAGTATTTACAAACCTTTTGTGTTTGGATTGTGGCGGTAAATAAATTGTGTGAGCTCCATTGAACTTAATTTCAGAAGGCTGAATATTTGCTTTGATTAGGTTGAAAAACTACGGAAGTATGTCCTGAGACTCTCTGATTGATATAGGCGTGTAGAGGTGAATAAGCCCCCATAATAAATAATTTTGTAAGTCTTCGACGTTGATGCTGACCTCACTGGGTTTATAGTGCACAACTTAGCTGAAAGATCTCACTCACTCATCCGAACCCGATTACGATTGAGTGAACCGTACTATGCATCCCTTGCAGCTGCTATCCAGCTTAGACCAAACGCTTCTCGACATACCGATATCCTTTTAAATATGTCTTCAAACCCCTTCATTTCTGACTTCCGATTTGACTAGGTTGATGTGTTTTCGTTGTCAAGGTGCTACGTATAAAGGCGTTCTCAAACTCTGACCGCCTGTCGCATCCTTGCGCGCGCTATTTAAAAGGACAGTAGTATTTTTCCTCGCTGAGTAAATCCTATTGTTTTGATCGTTTATTACGTATCAAGACTACTCTTTATACTTTAATTTAACTTATTTCAGTTAAAGTATCCGATAAGGATATCGTTTTTGTTTTCAAAGTAGTTTATCATCGGTACTTTTGAGTACTTTATTTTCTATTGTATTTGTTAGTACTTTGGCTCTAATAATTTACAGTTTTCCACTATTTTTGGTCATAGATCACTTTTGTCTCTGGGTACTGTTGTATCTAGTTTCTTTCTAAAAACTTCTGTCCAATGACTGGACAGTGCAAGGAAAGCAATGGCCAACGTCTGGGCTGTCGATATCTCGTTGAAAGTGGCATGCGGTGCGATGGGTGCAAAGGCTGGTACGACGAAGTGTGCACGAATTTGACGCCTGCGGCTTTCAAACGGTTTAATAAAAACGGTTGCGTATGGCTTTGTCAGCAGTGCTGTTCGGATGCAAACAGCTTGCTAACCGAGGCCATGTCAATGGCAAATGATGCAAAAGTGTTTAAGCAAGAGAGGTCGGGACCGACGGACAGCACTCGCACTGTCGACACACAGATTGATGTGAAGCCACCTCAAGTGAGCTCGGAAACAGCTGACTCATGTCGATCAAAGGAGGAAATACCGTCTTCAAAGTGGTCTGTCTTAATTAAAAACTCAAGAAAAGAATTTTCCTCTTTCCCCTGTCTTCTAAATAGTGTCAGGCAGGAAACACCTAAAAATCGCAATCGCAAGGCTCTATCTGTTTCTACCAGGAAACACAACCTGACTTCCAAAGTCATCGATAACCCTCCGGAATCCCACAGTATGTTTGACGCGACTGTGGTTGCTACTCCAACGAGAGTTGACGAATGGATACAGGTCGTAGGCAAGAAACGACATAACGATATAAAAAAATCCTACCCTCCAAAAGTAGTCGAGAATCACGGCGAGTCAAAGCTCTAAAACTAAAGCTCGCTTTGAGCACGACATTGGGTTGATAAAACAGCTACTAAATCAACTTACACCTCAAAGTATTTCCAGAGCCATTTTGCTAAAGGTGTATAGACTAGGTAGTCAAGCGAACTTAAAAACAAATCAAACCAAGCTGCCTAAAGTTGTATACAAATCTTCTAATGAACGGGACTTAATTTTACGGGATGGACACAAATTAAAGGGCTCAGGAGCTTTTGTCCGCTGGCAGACTGTGTAAAAAGACGGAAGCCAAAAAAGAACTACAACATAGGTTAGACGCTGGCGAAACGGACCTAAAAATGGTAAATTTTCTGGTTGTGAGGCTTCGACAGAGAATGATGTGCAGCACGAAGCCACTTAAATAGGCTTCGGATCTGTTACAAAAATTCCCGAAGCTTGCTGAATAAGGGGTCGAAACTAGGTGTACAGATTGACTCTACCAACTCAGATATAATCGCAGTCACAGAAATGTGGTTGACGCAGCCTTTAAAAAGTATGGAACTTAATTTTGAGTGTTTCACGTTAGTAATAACCGACAGAATCCAAAAGCGAAAAGGAGGGGGAGTAGCTCTATTCATTAGGAATGCTATCTCATTTGCTATTATTGACAGTGTATCCCATGAGAGTGGGACGTGTGAACTAGTTAGTTGTCGCTTTAAATGCAAGGGACAAGAGCTGCTGATTGGTTTGGTATACCGTAGTCCAAGCTGTGAGGTAAATGAGGTCTTGCTAAGCAGTCTCAATACTTGGTCACAAAGTGGTCAATATCTAATCCTAGGAGACTTTAATGCACCTATGGTAGACTGGAAAAACCTGCGAACTGAATTGTCAGATAATTACTTTGAGCAGGAACCGTTTGTTGCGGTTATCGCATGTACCCTAGTACACATGTGAAAGAAGCGACTACGTACGACCCGAATTCTAAATCATCCTTACTAGATCTTATAATGACCGATTATGAGGATGACGTTGCGAACCTTCATTACATGCCGCCCCTAGGTAAAAGTGATCACGCAGTTTTAACGTTTGACTTCCATATAACTGTCAATCACGAGCACGCGCCAGCTCAATCCAGACCTAACGTGTGGAAAGCAAACATACCTGATATCATGCACTCAGCATCGTTAGTAGATTGGACAATAGACCCAGAGTCCTCAATTGAAACGGCTTTGGACGTATTTCGAAATTTATACTTAAATTTATTGCATCCCACATCACTTGAACCACACCAAGGGGGCCGAGAAACTCTTCACCATGGTTCAGTAAGGAGGTTCGCATTCTTCGCCGTAAGAGAAGAAAAATGTGGGATAGATTTAGGTTAATGGAGACTGATGAGACAAAATCTCAGTATCGAAAAGTTCGGAATACCTGTGCCTCGACCCTTCGTAAGTCTAGAAGGTTGTACGAAGAGAAAATTGTCAAGGAACTCATAGAATATTCTGAACGCTTGTATTCCTATATAAACCAAAGGACAAAAAGAAGAGGAAACATTCCTGAACTAAGGGGAGACAGTATTGCCTCATCATTAGTAGAGGACGACTTTGGTAAGGCTCAAGTATTTTCAAACTACTTCAGCAATGTATATACCATAGAAACACCCCGTCAGGCCATGCAAACCCCCCAACACAAACACTAAACAGCTTGACTATTAAAGAACTCGATTTCTTTGGTCTGTTAAGTAAGCTAGACATAAACAAATCCATCGGACCCGATAACCACATCCTAGGTTACTAAAGGAATTAGCTAACTTCGTCGCGAATCCTTTAAGTATATGCTTTGACCTATCCGTAACCCACGGTCGTTTACCAAAAGACTAGAAGAACGCCATAGTAAGTCCTGCCTTCAAAACAGGTAAAAAACATAAACCTGAGAATTACTGACCCGTTAGCTTAACTAGTGTCGTTTTTAAAATTTTAGAGAAGATTATTCTGAAGGAGCTGTTTAAGTATTTCGATTAAAACCGGATCCTTTCGAAAAAAGCAGCACGGTTTTAGAACAGGTTATTCCTATCTCACTAACTTTTTAGTGACTCTTAAAAACGGGTACGCTCTAAAGGACCAAAAGTTACCTGTAAACGTGGCCTATACTGACTTCAGCAAAGCTTTCGACAAAGTTCCGCACAACTGGCCGTTATATAAGTTAAGAAATGTAGAGGTTGGAGGCAATCCGTTGATGTGGATAAGAGACTTCCTAGTTGGGCGCCAACAGAAGGTACGGGTTAACTCCAAGTTGTCTAGCTGGGAAACTGTGCTTGGTGGAGTGCTCCAGGGTACAGTTTTGGGTACAGTGTTATTCCCCTTGTATCTAAGTGACCTTCCTTGCCTACTATCATCATCACTCGTGCTATATGCTGACGATGCCAAGATATGGAGAGGGATACAATTTAAGAGTGATAGCTTAAAACTCCAGAATGACCTGAAGAAACTATCTGAATGGTCTCAAACCTGCCAGCTGCCGATAAATACGTCCAAAAGTATTGTGATGCGAATCAGTCATCAAAGTACAGATACATACACGATGAATAACACTGAGCTACCTGTTGTCCAGATACACAATGACTTAGGATTCATCGTTAGTCAAGACGTAAAGACTGATGCACACTGCCATGCAATGGCTGCCAAAGGTTTTAAGACTTTATGGTCAATACGTAGAGCCTTTAGTCATGTCGACGCTAAAACTTCTTTGACTTTGTATATAGTGTTCGTGCGTCCTAAACTTGAGTACTGCATACAAGCGGATAGCCCCTGCTTAAAAATAGACAGTGAGCTTTTGGAAGAAGTTCAGGGAACAGCAACTGAGCTGATTCCCGGAATAGCGAAGCACCCGTATAATGCTCGACTGGCCAAGCTAAACATATTCCCGTTGTGATATCGCAGAACTAGAGGCGACTTGATTACAGTTTTCAAATCACCTAGTGATAAATTTACACCTGATATGCCCTCATTTTTCTTGTCTCCCAAAACAGAGAATTTACGAGGATACTCCAGAAAAGTTCACAAATCCAGAACAAATTATTTGTCAGCTGACTATCAACGAGTGAAAGTGATTACTTTAGCACGTGATTGAGGCTTCATCGTTCGACTCTTCCAAAATAAAGTTGAATCAATCAAGAAACTATCATTTCCAGGACCAAAACAGGCCATCAAGTCTCCTGTTCTTTCCAAACTGAAACTGATCTTTAGCATTTATAGGCATCTCAACAAAAATTCAAACTCATCACACTAAAAAATTATATCCTTCGCGTTAACTGTTTAGATGCCTTGAAATATGATACAAATTGAATCATATAACCTCAAGTCTTTCAAAATACTTTTAAGTTCATAAATCTCAACTTATTTTATATGGTTTACGTTTTCCAAATGAGTCAATATGTATGGTGTTTGTTGCTGGGTAGCTTTGGATAACGTCGCTAAATTCATTATAGTTACTCTATATCAATAAATCATATGTAGTAGGCGGATTACTACTGTTTGCATATGCATGATAGGTCAGCAAACTGAATTCCTATAGGAATATTTGTTGGGTAGACTTATTGCTCAAAAAGTAATGGACGACATAAAAGTTCAATAACAGTCATGCCAACATTTTGTCAAAAAATGTGTCCATATCCATAAATCATCACATAACACCATTATCAACATCTATCTTACCAAAACGTTTAAAATATATAACATTTACCTGGGATTCCTTTGATAGTTTTAGATTTCGACTGAATAAATTCGGTATGGTGGCATTACGCTGCACTTCATACTCCCTTTTCCAGCCTGATATATTATTTTTTAAATTGAAAGTGTTTATGGTGTTTCTTTTCCGTGTAAATGATTCATTACATTCATAAGAACCCGGACCAATGTCAGTGGACAAGATTTCTTTCATCCATCTTGGGTGGACGTTAATTCGTCGTCTAAATACGTGTCATAAATTTCATAAATACCAACCTGTCTGTGCTGCTACCAAATGGTGGTTTACAAATCATTCAGATTCATAACACCTCGCTTGTATTACCATAACATTCGTACGTTCAATATCCAATAACTTGTGATAACCTAGTGTCAACAAAAGAACTTCTTTGAGCTTGCTTATTGTTTCCTCAGCACGGTTTTGAGTCTTTAGCGGTATCCGACTACATATATTCTGATTACTTGAATGTACTAGATCCAGTCACATCGATAGTCATTTGTTAGTTTGTCACAGATCAGTAGGGATTCTAGGAAAAGCAGCCTTAACATAACTAAGAAGTAAGTTGGTTGGCTGAAGTTTTTCGTAGAAAATAGACAAGATATCAGTACGGAATAACGAAGAGCAGATGAAAAGCAGGGGAGGAAATCAATTGATCTTATTATGTCATCAATTTGTTGCATTGCAGAGGAAAATAAATCCCTAAAATAAAAAATTCTGTGAGCTATCTTAAAGAGCAGAAACCAAACCAGCAAACACAACACGAGCTATTCGACGATAACGAGCTGCAACACAGCTCGGCAACGGAGGTTATCTATATTTGGAAAAGATCAGTGGCCGACAAACAACAATATTTGATAATCTTATCATAATACTAAATATTGTGCCTTCCAGAAATTACAAGTAAATTAATGTATTTCTTTTTAAAACCGTCCCTTACGTTCAAAGTTTTGGGAAACTCCCTTGCTGGTACGCATCAATGACAATCGTAGATGGTGAAGCTGACTTACATATTTACTTACGACTGTTACCTCTCATGGAGCAGCATAGGATGCTCACCAGCTTTCTCCATCCAACCCTTTCTTGGACAATCCTTTCTAGTTCTTTACAGTTGCTATTCATCCTACTCATATCTGCTTCCAATTCACGGCACAGTGTGTTCTTTGGACTTCCACTTTTCAGTCTCTCTTCAGGATTCCAAGTTAGCACTTGTCTCATGACACAGTTTGATGGTTTCCTCAATGTGTGTCCTATCCACTTCTGGCATCTTTTCTTAGTTTCCTCCTCAGTTGGAAGTTGGTTTGTTATCTCCCACAATGGGCTGTTGCTAATGGTGATGATTATCTTACGTAGACAATTGTTTATAAATACTTGTACGTTGGTTGATGGTTGTGGTAGTTCTCCAAGTTCCGGTCACATACAGTGGAACTGTGTTGACATTGGTATTGAAGATTGTGACTTTGATATTGGTTAACAGATATTTTGAGTTGCATATGTTATTCAACTGTGGGAATGCTGTCCTTGCATTGACAATCCTCACCTTTACGTCTGCATAAGATGCTCCACGTACATCGATTATGCTACCCAGATAAGTGAAACTTTCCACCTCTTCCAGAGTTTCTCCATCAAGTGTGATTGGGTTGATGTTCTCTGTACTGTATTTCAGGATCTTGCTTTTTTTCTTGTATAGGTTGAAGCCTACTACTGCAGAGGCTTTCAATACACTGGCTATCTTCACATGTACTTTTTTGTGTGTGTAGGAAAGGAGAGCTAGGTCATCTGCAAAGTCCGAATCGTCCAATTGCATCCAATCTGTCGGCTGTATTTCGTGCTTCCCCTCATGTGAAGGTCTTCATAATGCAATCAACCACCAGAAGAAAGAGAAAGGGTGAGAGTAATCAGCCTTTCCTGACTCCCGTCCTTACTTTGAATGCGTCTGTCAACTGTCTTTCACATACGACTTAGTCCGTCGTACGAATTCCGTATGGTGTTGGCGTTTTTATCAGGTACTCCATAGTGTCGAACAAGGTTCCATAATGTTCTGCTCTCCAAGCTGTCGGACGCTTGATCATAATGAAGGAGGTTGATGTATAACAGCGAGTTCCATCAAATTGATTGCTCAACAATGGTCAGTAGTGTCACAATTCGGTCTGTGCACGGTCTGTTAATTGCTTTCTACTTGTTCTTACTTTCTTAAATCTTGTGCACAGTTTCGATGGAAATCCATTTCTTATGATGAAGCTTCTTGCGGTCCAGAACCTATTGACACGCCATAGTTTGTGCTTTCCAGTTGTCCTTAGTGGTCTCTTCTTTTTTCAGTAGATCTTGTAGGGATTAGAACCTTTTGTTGGGAGTTATTTTGAATTGGTTGAGTTTGTTAGTATCTCGTAAGAAGGCTACATTTAACGTTTGTGTTGCTGTTTCTCCATCCGTCTAGTGTTTGCTCAGCTTCATTTTCATCTTAGCCACAACCATGTGGTGATCTGATGTTATGTCAGCTCCTCTCCTGGTTCTCAAATCTTCCATTGGCCTTCTCAACTTTTTATTGATACAGATATGATCTATCTGGTTCTGTGTAATGTGACCCGGTGAAATCCATGTGACATTCTGTATGAGTTTGTGTGGGAATGTTGTGCCGCTTATGAACACAGATTTGCAAATCTCTCATCATTTTCGTTTCCCCTCTCAGTGAGTCCATGTCGTTCAGTGATATCTCCGAATCCGGTGTTGTCCATTCCGACCTTGATGTTTAGGTTTCATATCAGGTTGTTGAGATCCTTTTTTGGACACTCCATCATAACTGACTGCAGACTCTTGTAAAAGTAAACTTAATCGTCGTCACTGCCATCATTGATAAGTGCATAAATTTGGATAACAATCCCTCCTTCTTTGTTTTGAAGGATGGTTAGATGATATTGGGCCCATGAAGAATTGAGTTTTCTATGTATCTACTGGTATGATACCGGCTTATTACAATTATGTTCGTGATTATATGCCTTCGTGGGCTTTTTAGTGTGCGTTTACGTTTGAATTCGTATTGAATGTCTGTGGAGGTTGACTTCTGAGCTTGTGATTGATTGATCTCTTTCTTACGGGTTCATCGATCGAGTCAATGTCAATGTGTCAGTTGTTTGCTAATCGATCTGAAATTAGTGCACCTGAAATTCCTCTGACATTCTTGTGTTTTCTTTTACACAAACGTTTGACGTTTTTTCAGTCGAATTTATTTTCATGGCTACAAGAATACACTAAAGGATATTTAAAATCATGAACCATGTCACCTCACCGTTAACCTGTTGAGCAGGGATGAATTGCGAAGCAAAATCAGTAAGAAATGAAGTTCAGGGTATTTGTTTTCCATCGGTTCTATGACAGACCAAATCATTTAGCTCGGATAATTCAACACAAACAGATATAGGCATATATGTAACAAAGTAGGCTTAATATTTATGTTTTTACTGCGATTTTGCTTAATAGTAAGTAAAATAAGTAAAATAATTAAATAACAACTATTCATGTTGATTTGTTCAACCATAAATTATGGTTCGTCTAAAGATTTGAGATTTATTTCTTGCTTATCATCAAAAACCAAGATTATGTTAAGTTGAGAGAGAATGATGACGAAAGCCTGAGAGAATTGTTTCAACATGAAAGAATATTAATATGACATTAACTTGAATCAGTTGGCTATAAGCACTTGGTCAGACATAGTCAACCTCTGTATAATTCATTGAGCCGCCTGTCGATCAAGTAGACTTGAGACGGAAAAGTTTTAGAATTTAAGGATTTCAAATTGAAAAAGATTACAGTTGCAATTCAGAATCAGAAAGTGATATATAAAGGGTAAAAATTCTACCAAAATGTGTTGACGTTTTTCAAGTACTTTGAGCTTTCTTTGAAATGTTGGACATCATAAGCATAAACTACGAACTCAAGTGACTTTAGGGAAGAGCTTAATATGTCAAACTATTTTTTCACATCGCGATTTGCGGTTAAATGCTTCCAAGAGTTTTTATTTTGTTGCGTGTGTTGATTTTAAACGATTATTTTGTCATTTTGCTGGCTTCACTACTATGTTTTTGACTAGTACTTTGTGATGAATGGTTCGCGTATTTACAAGAATATATTATGAAAGACGGTCAGTTGTGTCAGTATAGAATTTTTGACAGCTGGTAAAAACGAACCTACAAATGTTTTTAGACAGGTTGTTGTGACCATTTTTTGGCGGCATAAAATTATATGAAATAATTGTTTTGAATAATGAGATAAATGTTCCGTGAAGATATAAAAATCATTACGAGGATTTCTGAGATGTTAAAATGATGATTGTGAGTATTTGAAATATAGTACAAATTAAGAATCCCAGAAATAACCCATTTTAGCCAAGAAGTATTAGATGAGCACGAACAGACCTATTATATTTAGAATTCAAAATCAAGCGGTCAACAAGTACAAAGAAATCATTAGTTCATACAAAACCCACGGTCAACCATATCTACCAAAACTATCCGTATGTTAATTTGGGTTTCCACCATTCGTCCAATTATAGGCCCTCATTGTTAAAGAACGAAGAGTGAGTTTTCTCTTCTGGTTGATAGTAGTTCAGATTTTGATCTCAATATACAAAACATATTCAGTCGCGATAATGACAGATAGTTTTAAAAAATGCCAATGAGACTCTTTTGATTGCTACTCTTTGTTTAAAAAAATTCGGAAGAATTAAAAATGTATGCTTTCCTTATTTGTCTAAAACAAATTCTAGTACATTATAGTCAAGGAAATCCTTTCAAAATATCCAATACGTTATTGATCGCGTAAAGTGTTATATATCATAAGGAAGTATCTTCTAGTTGATATACTGTTTCTGAATCTAACATGCACGATGCACATAGTATAACCTTATACAAGTCAATGCAAACTACATCTTTATAGTTAACCTATTTGCATACAATATTTAAGGATGCTGATTAACGGGAATGTAAAAGCACATGTAACATTCATGAAGATTTTATTGATTCGTTGTTTCACCAAGTACTATATTTAGTACCTAATTATATTGGTCTCAGAAACGGGTCTAACTGTTTAGTTTTGTCTGTTATTAGCATTATTTAACTGGTAACGATTTTCTATCATATATGGCGGGTTCATTAGTGACGGATAACGGTTAGAGAAGGAAAACCCAATAATATGATATTGCTTTGTATTGCAAACTAAGATTTGCCAAGATTCCAGTCGGAAAAGTCCACAAATGGAGTTAACTATGCTGAGAGTGAGGCAGCAAACTAAGCTAAAGTAAAA